ATACCACAAACACTAAGTAAAATCTGTGAGAACAATAAATGAAAAGCATTTACACTTCAAATAAAAACGCATGTGCAACAGTAGCAGAACCTACTGAAACCACAGGGATGTGGTTGTGCTATCTGACCACGATCAGATAGATTTTCTGTCCTCTTACTTCTTTCAAGGAGTGTCTTTAACTAGTATGATGAGCTGAACGGACACTCCAAAGGACAAAGCTGGCAAGTTGTCAGGCAGAGGCTGCAACACTCGCAGCTGCTGGAGATCCTTAGGCACCTGCCTGGATGAACTTCCAGTGATGGAACTTGCAAGCATGACCTGAGGGCAGCTAGCGAGTATCCACACCACACTGCACCTCCATACCTGTTCTCAGTGCTTTCCAAATCCCATGGTGGCTCTCATCCCATTTCTTCTGTGTGTATCTGTTCCTAATTTCCAACTTTGCCCCCCACAGTGATGCTTAGCCTAGCTTTCAATCATATCGCTAGCCTAGCTAGCTACAAACTAGCTCCCACCCGCTTTCAACTACCAAACCCAGTCTCCAGCTCTAGTCTGGGCTTTCACCACAAGCCTAGCTCATCCCTCCAGTCAGTGCACAAGGTGCTCACCTGAGTTTGTAAAACAACCGTTCAGTGTAAGGGTTTATGAAGTATGGTGTGATTTTCCAACTTACTACACCATACATGGTGAAATCCAAGCCAAGATGAAGAGATGTACATCTCTTGCAAATGAAATGAAGTATTTCATGAAGTATTTCATGAAATGAAATATCAAGTGAAGCAGAAACGCCCCCTTTCCCTCCTTTTCTCAAAATTCAGAAGTATCTGACTTGTAGTTTTACCCATGCAATACTAAGATGCTACTTTAACACTAAACTAAATTGGAAGAAGGGAGAAAAAGCAGTAGGGAACAAGGTCTGTCAAGTCATTGCCACTCACTGGTTCCTTGTTCAAAAAGTATAAACAAGGGGCTATAAACAAAGGAAAAGCATGCTTTTGCCAGTCCAGCACTCTCCCAGCAAAAATACTCCTTAGTATTTGCTTTTATCTTCAATAATACCATGTCAGAGTCTTGAAAAAGCTGCTAAGAAATTTCAGACACCTACTGCGAACATTGCTCTTAAATCTATTTGCAACTTTCTTTCCAATATGGGAAAAAACAATCTTTTGAACAGCTTTAATTACCAATCCTGTCTAGAAAAAGAGTCCAGGTGATCTCACTGCTCCTTGGGAACTGCTCAGTGAGCAAAGACTGACCTACTCTGAGGGCGACAACCAGCCAGCCCAGCCCAGCCACGCACCTCCCCACGGCTGGGTACGCTTCCCCCTGCCCCGGGCTTGAAGGTTTGGCTCGGACCGGTGACATTAGGGGTCAAGTGTATTTTCCATAGCATGCTTCAGATAAAGTCTCTTTTGTGAAACAATAGCAGAGGAAACAGAACATGCAAACCTAAAAATACATAATATATATCTGATAATCCTCCTGCAATGCTAAGTGCCCAAAAGTAAGCAAGTAAATAATGCAAAACCATAAGCAAGGCATACAGGTTTTTGGATGCATGTTACATCTCCCGTCATTTGTCAAGTTCTTACTTAAAACAAACCTTACCAAACAAAACAAAAAAACCCACTCCAGGGTATGCTTTTTCCCAGCAAAGTTTCTGATATACTGCAACAATAAAACAATGACCTCATTGATTTTTATTTGAGAAATGCAAAAGCCCAAAAAATTAGTAATAACTGATTTTTCAAGTCTTCGCTTAATAAGCTAATGTGCTATTAGTAAAAGTTTCTCTTTTTACAGAATTATTTTCAAGCAGGCAGAGCCCCTTTAATCAGTGTATGACCTCTGAATGGTCCAGACATTACAACATATTCTGTCACTGATACCAAAACTCAATTTTCAAAACTCATTTTTAAAACTCAATTTAAAAGGTTTTGGGATTTTTCTTTCTAATAGAGAAACACTTTCCCAAATCATTTTAGGAACCATGGTCTGCACCTAGTGAAAGCGAAGCACTATTTAAATCAATTCTGGTTTATAACCAATGCTTCAGTGAAAACTGATAAACAGAAGTTGAGTGTAAGCATGGGAGCTTACACACACAATTGTTGGTGAAAAAGTATTATAGATACTGCATGCAGAGAGCGTAGAAACTACTTGAAAAAAAAAACAAAGTGACAACTAGGATAAACACATACCACACAACAGCCTGGCAAATATCAAACCTTTAAGAGCAAACTTCTAGCTTTACTTTCTGTGCCTTGCAGCAAACAATTTAATACTCTCAAATATCCCAGTAACACCTGTAACACTTCAGCAGATCCATTTTAGAGATTCGCATCACAGGTAAGTTTCAATGGTACAAACCAGGTCCAATTTTACTACACTTTTTTTTAAAAGAAATAAAGATATAGCATTCACTTTATATTGAATCACTTTAAAGTATTTATTACGCCTTCAGAAAAGAAAGACCATAAGCTCCTGTTTTATAATGAAAAAAACAGAAACTCAAAAAAAATCACACTGCACAATTGCATGAAAACAAAAAGAAGAAAGAATACATGTCAACACACCTCTGGGAAAAAGGGATCCACCACAATTCATGCTGGATTAGATTCTTCCTGTCCCAGTTCACCCAGCTGTAGTTAATTATACCCAATAGGCAACCGCTCCACTTTCAAGTCCCACTCACAAGGTACCCCCACCTCTGATTTGCTTCCATTTCTTTTTACCTTTCACAGACTCATCTTCCAGATTTTAAAGCTAATCTTCTTTTTTCTAATTCCTTTTCTTGGAGGGTGTTCCCCAGTTTTGCCTTCCTGGACTACCCAGTAATTACAAAGCTCAATAATAAAATCAAGGGAAAAAAAAAACAAACCTAGGGCTGAATATTATGGAGTCATTTATAATTTTCCAAAGTCAAACAGGCAAATGTGGTTTTAAACCTATTCAGCAGAGGCTCTTCTCAGACACACCTCTGAAAGCATCTTTTTCACCTATAAACTCCCAAAACCTTCAGCTGTAAACAACAGTTTGGATCTACAAGAATTTTAGCTTTTCAAATGTATTGTGGTATCGTTACCAGGGCAGGTTATAAGGGGCACATAAAGCACAACAGAAAATGAGTGGAAGTTGAGGGCCTCATGGCACCAAGATATGGTTAAGACTGGAGAGTTTACTCAGGTCCTGGAGAGTCACTGAAAAGCACTCTGGATCCTGAAGCATTTGGATCTAGATGTCTCTCAGGTATTACAAGAGCTATTCATCTATCCTCAATCTTAAAATCTTAACAGGTTTGCCATGCACCATGAACACCTGAAGCAGAACACAGGCTATATGATGCTTCAGAAGATCTGCACTTCATTATTCAAGACAGCTTTTCACATTGTTTTTTTTTTAATTTCACATAGCAGATGTATTTTCAGAGCAGCAAGTTACTAGATCAATGGTATTTCCCTCTGCTTACTGCAGTAATTAAATTGCACCAACATTAAACTCTTTATCACAACAGGCTTGACCTTAAGAAGGTCTCACTGGATGTTCCAAGTTCTCTTTGACAACTGATGATTATTAGCTGCCGCCCAGCACATTAGCCACCGGTCTGTACTCACCAAGAGACGAGAGCTCACAAAAGCTAAACTCTACTTTTTCATCAATATTTTCCCCCTAAAACCCAAGGTTTGGCATTTTTTGCTTGTTTGGTGGTTTTGATTTTCTTTAAGGTAAACAGCTCATTTCAGTACAAATGGCAGAGTCAAGAAGCCAGCTTCGTACTGGAAACAATTTTTATAACATCTTTGAGAAAAGCTTCCAATATTATTCAGCACTTCTGAACTTCTTCCTCAGTTCATTATCTTCAGGAATATCGATTCCTAGATGAGACCGTGCTCCCCATTCAGTGAGCACTGCTGATTCCTACTAGTGCCTAGGCTACCTAGACTCGCTGTAAGAAAGGCAGGGACACAGCAGGAAGGATGGGAACAGTAGAGGACAAGTGAGAAAAACAAAAGGAGTAACAGACATTGTATGCAGAGCTACAAAACTACTTTGGAGCATTATCCAAAGTTATTATTTTATCACCTGAAATAAGTGACCCCGCATGAACACTCTGACCAGGTGTCCTGGTTTCAGCTGGGATAGGAGTTAATTTTCGTCTTGGTAGCCGGTATGGGGCGACCATGCTCAGTATATAAGCTGGGGGAAGAAGGAAGAGGGTACATTGGGTGTGATGGCGTTTGTCTTCCCGAGTAACCGTTACGCGTGATGGAGCCCTGCTTTCCTGGGGATGGCTGAACGCCTGCCTGCCCATGGGAAGGAGTGAACGAATTCCTTGTTTTGCTTTGCTTGCGTGTACGGTTTTTGCTTTGCTTTGCTTATTTAACTGTTCTAATTTATTTTACTTCAATTATTAAACTGTTCTTATCTCAACCCACGAGTTTTCTTACTTTTACCCTTCTGATTCTCTCCCCCGTCCCACTGGTGGGGAGTGAGCAAGCGGCTGCGTGGTGCTTAGTTGCTGGCTGGGGTTAAACCACGACACCAGGCATCCATGTTTGCCAGTGCTATTGTATGGACACAGAGCAGCACACCTTAGGGTTAATCCGCAGACTGACAAAACAGAAAAAGGGTTTCTCCACAAGCATTATGTACTGCAGATCGCATAGAGAAATGCTGACATGAAAACAGCAATGCGTGTCTATTACTTAAAACTTTTATTCTAAGAAAATATTTTCAAGCTGGCAGCTCTAATTAGAGTATTATTGGCAAAAGATATGGTTGTCAAATAATTGGTCACACCTACTAAAAAAGTGTGGTTAAAATACAAATACAACATTAAATTCACTTGTTCATGAAAATCAAAACATACTGAATCACTGAAACAAAATGTCAGGTTTGCTAGCCTCTGGAAAAAATAAATAACAGAACATGTATTTAAATAAGCAGGCCCCAACAACACGTAATAGCAAGCTTTTTTATGATGTTCTGCACATACTTACAGGTTGAGCAGACCAATAGTGCTCTCACCACAAGCTCACAGAGTAACTTCCACTTCTGCTCCACTTTGGAGGTGACAGCTGGAATGAGGATCTCCGCAGGGACGTAGTACTGAATCGAATAGGTCACAAAAATCCCAAAGGAGTACAGAATTTTTACAGACTGATACAACCTGTTCAAAACATTTACACATGTTAATGTAAGTTGCAAACTCTTTGTTAAAAAAATTAGCTTGATTTTTTTTTTTCTTTTAAAGAATTTTCTATCATGTGACATTTGAGAATTCATTAATGGCTAAGCAAGCAGACCCCCGTATTTCTAATTAGATCCAGATTCTCTACCTCGTATGTAAATTCAGAGTATTTAACAAGCTTTACAGACTATTAAAATATAACCTGTTCAGTACCGGCTTTTTTTCTTCACTTTAAGGTTTACAAAAATCCCCACAGTTGTTAAGTTTTTAACTAAAAAGATGGGTAACGCGACTACATTTTTTTTCCCTAAGACTATTTTTGGCTAACAATGGTGGCTTTTTTCTAAAACTGTACATCAAAAAACACATGGCAGATATAACAACTCCCTCCAAACAGAAGGAAGATGTGGACAGAAAGATTATTTGGCTTTTCAGAGCAATAGGTTCAAATTTTGCTTCCGACACGTGCAATGCCAGCGTCTTTCTACTTACTCTGAGAACTCCCTGCACATTAGACAACATAACTAAATCAGCACTAGGTCAGCCTCCATGAAACTAAAAATCAGCTCAAATCGCACAAAGCTGTATTTATAGCTTCCAAGACGCCAAACCTAGGAGTGTTCAGTGACTGTGTCCCAGCTCTGCAGTGGGGGAAAATAAAAAGAAATCCAGTGCTACCGCACGCTCTCCAGCATCCCGGTCTCGCTGCAAACTGCAGTTCTGTGCCTACAGGCTTGCTTTGAGCCAGACTGTGATTGCAGAGTCCTTAAGCAGTAGGCTGAGGGCCACGATGACAGAAAGCAGCCACTATTCATTTCAAGAGATAAGCCAAGACACAGTCAGTGATCAACATTATACTAATTATTATACTAACACAATTTTCTATACTCATAAAAGCCATATTACATGTATAGGATTTCATCCCTCTCTTGCCAAATTATATCTTTAACAGAGAAGCTGCAATAAAGGGCAAAAGAATACAACAGAAGTATTTTAATATGTGGGAAACCAAAAATTCAAGCAATCATGTTTGTTTTCCGTAATGAAGATCGAAACTGATCATGCATCATCATTTTGACAGTCAGTCTTTACTATCAGGTAATGACTGATCAAACACAAAATGGAGTACCGGGTTCTTAACACAATAAAAAAAACCTTAGTAACATAAACACTAACAGAAAAATAAAAATCTCTTTGAAGATGAATAGCTGTAATTGTGATCTAAGCAATGAAGTCTCCATTTAAGAGCAGTGTGGTGATTTTGTGTGAGAAAATCCTACAGAAGTCATTTTTTTCCAGACAGCCTTGATGCCCTTCCTGCGTATCAATTATTGCTTCCGAAACTATATGCACTCAGGAAGGCCACAGTTCCAGTTTTCAGAGCCAAACTAGTCATTCTGTTATAGAGAACCAAATGTGACACAGATTATGTTCTATTCTGTTTTAATACCTTGCTATGAAGTTCTCCAACAGAATAAAAAGAGGTGCAAAAATTAGTAATAGTTACAGTGATGATGATCATGATCAACTGAAGAAGTGCAAAAAGATACAATGTGTTAGGCACTATCATGAGTGGTCTGATGCTCAAAGTATCATTATGGCCACATGGCACTAAGGCTATATATACATTCCCAGTAAACAAAAAGATAATGTTATCTGCTTGCAACAGTTATAACTGCCTATGAAACTGCAGAAGGTAAGCACACTGCCAAAATATGTACCCCAAAAAACCCACAAAAAATCAATATCGTGCAATCATAAATCAATAAACTTCAAGAAGAGCAGGTTATACAGCAGCAGTTATTTGGGAAAAGAAAATTCCAAATTCACATCAAATATAATCTGCACATTGATAAACCTTTCACAGTGGAAGTAAACATTGGCCATTTTAAAGACCAAAGCCAATATCTTCCAGATTTCTGCATATTCACAAAGCGTTCCTAAAAAGACTTTTCACATTAGGAAGAGGACATGTCAGGAAATTCATTAAAACTGGAAGGTGTACCTTCAAGGCTAGAAAATATCCATAACCAAATTTGCTTGCTGTCCACACCCTCATCAAAAGCACTAAGTACAACACCACTAAGTTATTGCGCCATGTCAAAAAGGAGTAACACGTAACCAAAGTTCAGTGTAGGGTTCTGTCAGATACGAGGTGATGGAAGCGTAATGGCCCTGATATTTAAAGTCAGTAATGATGGGAAAAAACACTGTTTTGTACCAGAATTTCACAGGGTTTATAGCAACACAAGGTCGTACCAAGTTCTACAGCTCCAAATTGTGCCAACCTTATGCCAGTGCTGGACTGGCAGGGTACATTACTAAAAAAAGGCAACTGGGAAAAGAAGGTACACTCCTCTAGAAGAGGGTTCATTTTGATGCAGCAATGTCTTTCCTAACATACAGGACTAGAGTTGCTGTTAATACACAAACATTTTAGGGATCAAGATTTTTTTTTTTTTAAAGAGACTGTGTATTTTGTTGAAAAACTACTTTAGGATGGCTTTAAATTCTGTGCCAGACAAAGACAAGCTGCTGCCTTGTATCACTCCAAGAATTCACTTACATAAAAAGCAAAATTATCTCTACACAGACTGGTAAAAGGCACAAGCTACATTTTAGAAAGAGGGAAGAATTTCTGTTCTCATTAATCTCTTTCCATTCTCATGTCATTCCACCCTGCATGTCATCAAGGTATAGATAAAAATGTTCAGGAAGTGCAACATAGCGGACAGTTTCTTTATAAGCAATATAAAGCTCAGATACATTTAACTTCTTTTTGCCTAAATTCGTTCAAAATACTCTTTCCTATTCCAAATATATTAAGTGTCTTCAGACCATCCAGCTTTAATCTTTATGTATTTTTTTTCAGATCTGTGCTGAACCAGAAAACCCTATCCTGTGAGTAAAGGAAAAGATTATTAGTATTTATCAGAAGAAAAGCCTCATATCAAAAGTGAAGACAAAAAAAGGAAAAAAATTCACATCTACCCTCATATAAACTTTATCTCAGTAAGAAATATAATAAAAGCAGCTGTGAGGCTTGGGTATAAAATAAGGAAAATATTTTTTTAAAAAAGCCTGAATGGCTTGGCAGCCTAACTTCAATATAATTTTGCATGGACTTGTGCATCTTGCTTCCTTAAGTTTGTTGGAAAATAACCCATATATTGGCACTGTCTTGCCAAATATTAGGTAACAAATTCCATTTTTTTTTTCCAAGATAGTTAAGGTTTTTTAGATATCATGCTCGTGCTCTTATCTCACTTATCTTAATGCAGTGAAATCCGTTGCTATATGGTTGTAGCATTATTGTTTTTCCTTCATCATCTGTCTGAAGGTTTTCCTACATCTCCAGCTTTTTGTAAACAAAATGTCTGCAGATCTACTCCAAGAGAAGGTCTCAGAGAAATTAGTTTGAGAACTTCTGTTAAGTTCTCAAAAAACTAGAGTAAATCTTCCAAAAAAACCTAGAGTGTGGACACTTTTACCAGTGTAACTTGTGGCTGAATGAACAAGTGACAAAGAATTATCCATGCCACCAACAGTTTTAAATTTAGATGCATTTTTAATCCATGCTGCATAAACTACAAGCATTTGTCACAAGTCTGCTTACAGACAACTGATAGAAGTTACGAGTCTCTTGGTATGATTTTGTTTCTAAGAATGCAAATAAGAACATCATCAAAGCCTTTGGGTAAAATTTTGGTTCATTTGCCATGGGGTCTTGTGGGTTCACAAATGAAAGACAAAATATTTTTCGTAAACAACCTTTGATAACAGAAGATGATGCTGAGCAGACCAAAGCACTGCATGCTTTTTTGCTTCAGTCCTCAAAAAGAGGTTCGACTGCAACCAGAAAGCAAAGGCAACTTGCAACAGTAAGAA